GGGCTCTTGGTGTGTGTGTGTGTGTGTGTGTGTGTGTGTGTGTGTGTGTGTGTGTGTGTATTGATTTCACAGAAGAAGGGAGAATGAAAGAGAGATAGAAACATTAATGATGGGAGAATCATTGATTGTTGCCTCCTGCATGCCCCATATTTGGGATCGAGCCCACAACACATGCATGTACCCTGACCAGGAATTAAACCATAACCTGCTTGTTCATAGGTCAATGCTCAATTGCTGCCACACCAGCCAGGCAGTTCCTTCACTCTCTTAATCATTCTTTGCCATACATATTTGGGATGGTTAGCATTTTCCTCAGGTTTAAATATTTTGACCACTGCTCCATTGAGTCAGACTCTGACTTCTGTTCTAGATAATATATTTATATTGAAGCTTCCTAAGATCACATTCACTCTTATATACTTTATATATTTTTTTATTTTGTGTCCTAACAATCAATCTCTTGTCTAAAATTTAGCAAAATTACCTTTGATCATGACATAGTGAACTTGTAGTCCTTAAAATTTAAATTTTTTATATGAGCCACTGGTAAGGTATGTCTTTTCCAAAACTGTACTTATGCATATAGACTTTTGGGATTCAATTGCAGGTATATATATGCCTGTTTAACTTTCGTCTTGTTGATCTATTCTATCATATAGGCCTGTTGATATCTAATTGTGGTTACTGATTCGGTCTCCATTTTACTTTTTCCTTTTCCAGCTTTAAGTCACCATAATGTTTCTGTACATACTTAGAAATGTATATTGAATCATATGGGTTGGAATCTGAATATTGACGCCACCACTGACTATTTAGATAACATTGCACAGAATTCTTATTGGTGTCTCAGATATTCTGTTGTATGAATGTACCATTATCAAATGTACAAATTTCATAATTTTTTAAATTTAGCTTATTTCTAATAATTTGTTTACTGTAATAGTACTTTGTCGAAACATTCTATACATAAAGCTGTATGTAGATCTATAACAATTTTCTTATAATAAGTTTATAGAAATGGAATTGTAGGTCAGAATGAATAAAAATTTCAATACATTGTCAAACTGACATGTATAAAATTTAACCCAAATTATTTTCTGAGTTCCTCTTGCATATGTGTGTGGCACTATTCTAAGCATCTATATTAATAAAAACCCAACGACTAGAATGGCAGAACAACCAGAATGACCAGAATGACTGGCTATGATGCACACTGTGGCAGCCAACTAGCCTGATCCGGGTCCCAGTCGCCCCTCGTTTCCCCCCTCCTGGCTGGCCCGGCCCCCAATCGGCTCCTAACATCCCCATCAGGGGCAGGGCCAGCCGGCCAACCACCTGTGGCCCCTCCTCCTGGCCGGCTCCATCCCCAATCATCCCCCAACACTATGATCAGGGGTGGGGCTGGCCGACCAACCACCCATGGACCCTCCCCACAGCCAGCTGCATTCCCTTTCCCCCACCGGCGCAGCCCAGTGGGCCCCCATCAGGGTGGGCCAGCTGGACTCCACCCATGCACAAATTTGTTCACTGGACCTCTAGTTGTATTATAATAATATAACCACAAACTTTTATTAATTTTTATTACCAGTCTAGGATAGATTCACTTCCCTACTAGCTTGCTATCTCTCAGTATTCTTTTTCCTTTTTTAGTCTGAGAGATATGACGGTTTTAAGCCTACCTTGACACTCCAAAATCTAGGTAGGAAGATCAGTAACTAGCATTTTACCCTAATATCTGCATTTGCATATTTCAGAATTTAAAAATAAATTTGTACACTTTACTATATTTTGGGATATACAGAATTCCTTGATATTTAGTGTTTTCCCTAGCACATTTTAAATAGAATTTAATAGAATTACTTGTTAAAGTTGGTGTCGCTAAGTGCTAGGGACTATCATTCCACAAAGGGCCCATTTCTTCAGGAATTTACAATTTCTAAAGAAATGAAAATATGATTTGCATGCAACTTTTTCATGTACTTTTATTGTGTAAAGTGAGTTATGGATCTACTTACATCTAGTTACAATAAAGTCTCTATTCACTGTATGAATGAGGTGTTCTGATTAATTGATTTTTCTGGTAAACTTGTGGCTAATTAAATGTTCTTTTTTTTTAGTTCAATTCTTCTTGTTAAGCGTGACTTTAAAAAGTAGCCATATATCCCTGCCTTATTAAGTACTATCTAGTGAATATAATTGAATACCTCTTTACTAGAAAACTCTGGAGAGCTATGGGGTGACCATTTATTTTAAACCATGAAATTTGCAGTATTCAGATCTGTAAAATGACTGGCAATTTGTCTGTGTGTAGATATGGTCAGCCATCACTGGATATTTCTTTTTAAAAGATTTCTATGATATATGAGTTTGACCCATTTTCTTCTTACTTGCTTGTTTTCACCAAAAAAAATAACAGAGGAGAATATTGATTTTGGAGTTCTAGTTACTTTTCTTAAAGTTAATTTAAATGTAGTTTTATAGCTAACTGAATCTAATTGTAATTTCTAATCGGGTATAAGCAAGTTATATTTATAGAATACATAATGAGATTGTTCTTCCCTCAGTGGAGACAGAATTCTCATAGTAAGCTTGAAGCTTTTTTTCAGCTTTATAGAGATACTAGGGGCCCGGTGCATGAAGATTCATGCACTGGGGGTGGGTCCTTCAGCCCAACCTGCACCCTCTCCAATCTGGGAGCCCTCAGGGGAGCCCTCTCCAATAAAGGAGTTTCTGTCTGTCTTTGCAATCATATGAGCAAATTTTCTGAGACCCCCAACCCAGTTTGGTTTGTTGCTCAGAGAATAATAGAGGCTTTTTTTTAAATTTGGTTCAGTGTCAGCAGTTAACTTGTGGAGATGTGACTTGTGGCAGAAAGGGCATGATGTGTCACTACGGCCCGTGAGCCAGATCCGGCCCGTTTGGCTGTTCTATCCAGCGCGCGGAGCCAAAAGAGTGGAGGGTTCTCTTGCTCTCCCCTCCGCTCCTTCACCAGCAGCAGTGTTAACGTGTATTAGTTCACACAAACACTCCATCCATGCTTTTGTTCCAGCCCTCCGGTCCAGTTTAAGAATCCATTGTGGCCCTCGAGTCAAAAAGTTTGCCCACCCCTGCTCTAGTGCCTGGAAGATTCGCCTGCTACCAGAACTATGATTCCCAGTATTCCTTGTGCTCCCCACGCTATGGGCTTCTGCATCAGGTCCTGGGCTTCCACCAGAACTACTATTCCCAGAATTCCTGGTGCTCCCGCGCTCTTGG